GCTGCTGCTCTAATTCGCCAGAAGGGAAGCGGGGAGCACTTGGGTCGTCTGCAGCAGCAACACAACACACAGGGTTCTTGCTGCTGCTGCTGCTGCTGCTGCTGTTGCAGCTGCTGCTGCTGCTGGTGCTGCAGTTGCTGTTGCTGCTGCTGTTGCTGCTGCTGCTGCTGCTGCTTACCATCGTGCTGCAGCAAGGTCGTCCATACCTGCAGCAGCTGCTGCAGCTGATCTAAGGATCGGATATCTGCTGCTTGTTCTTCCAGCAGCAGCAGCAGCTGTTCTGCTGTTAGCCCCACAAACCCTGCTGCTGCTGCTGCTGCTGCTGCTGCTGTCTCGTGCCCGCCCCCAAACGTCAGCAGCACATCCCGCGCCCGAGACAGCAGAGCCGTCCCCGATTGAACTGAGCTCGCAACCTGCAGCAGCAGCAGCAGCAGCAGCAACAGCAGCAGCAGCAGCAGCAGCAGCGGTATTAGCAGCAGCAGCAGCAGCAGCAGGAGCAGCGGTATTAACAGCAGCAGCAGCAGCAGCTGCTGCTGCTGCTGATGCGGCTGCTATTGGGTTTGTCTGAGCTTCGCTAAGCGCAGCAGCAGCAGCAGCAGAATATATCACAGCTAACGCCAACAGCAACAGCAGCAACAGCAGCAGCAGCACGAGCAACAACATAAGCAGCAGCAGCAGAAGAAGAACAAACATCAACAGCAGGCATCAGCAGCAGCAGCAAGAGCAGCAACTGCACCATCATCATCAGCGAGAGAACCAACACCAGCAGCAGCAACAGCAGCAACAGCACGAGAACCACCATCAGCAGCAGCAGCAGCAACAGCAGCAGCAGCAGCAGCAGCAGCAGCAACAGCAGCAGCAGCAGCAGCAGCACCTCATCTGCCTTTTTTTTGACCTTGCTGAAGGACTCTGTAATTTTCCCCCACATATTCGCCGACGGCCGCCCTGAGGAGGGCCCGTGCTGCAGCACAACACACAGCAGCAGCAGCAGCAGCAGCAGCAGCAGCAACAGCAGCAGCAGCAGGAGAAATCTCAAGACATCAGAGTACTGTTGTCGTTCTAAGGAATACAGCAGCAACACATTAAACATATGTAGAGAGGAGTTGCTGCTGTCTCTGTTGCTGCTGCTGCTGCTGCTGCTGTTGCTGCTGCTGCTGCTGCTGTTGCTACTGCAGTTTCTATCCCCCTTCCTGCTGTAGCAACAGCAGCAGCAGCAGCAGCAGCAACAGCAGCAGCAACAGCTGCTGCAGCTGCTGCGTCACCCCGGGCAGTGGAACTCGTGGTTGCTAGCATGAGCAGCAAAATATTTTAATTAAATTTATATCTGCTGCTGCTG